TCAGAAGATCAAAAATTAACTTCTAATGTAAACTCCAAGAAAGCAGGATTTTTTTCTCACTTCTTTATCTCCAAAAGCTAGAATGTGACTGACACACGACAGGCATTTCATACTGCTGAATTAATTAATTTTAAGGTCAGAATTGCTAAGGAATATGCATTATTTTCAGATCATGGCTCATTCTGGCCTCATAAGCAAAAATCATATACTTGAGTTACTCAAACTACTATTGACCCTTCACATAGTTTTAGAAGTTGGCTTAAAAAGAAAACAATTCCATGAGGTCTGTTTTTTTTTATTGTTGTTGTTAATGATGTCTATCTTAGTCACCTTGAAGAATCAACTTCATATATTTCATAATGGAAAGCACACATTCAAGGTATTATAATTATCAAATATATAGAACTACCAGGTGGTTAGTAAGCACCTCCTAAAAGCACTGCATTGTAGGGTTTATGTCATAAAGTAAAGAACAAATATTAAGTAAGAATTGGCTCCTACCAAACATCTGAACTGCAGCAGAATTATCAAAGGCCAGCTCTGCGATTAGGGACACTGACTTTGGGAGGTGGTCAGTGGGCTACAGGTCTTAGTTCTTCCACCCACCAGCCGGTGCACCTGGGAAACTTACTCCTATTCTTTCTTTATCTCAGTTTCTTCTTCCATGAAATGGAAAACACAAAAACTTATTTCAAAAGCATGTTGTGAGAATTAAATGAACGAGTGTACGTAAGTCTCTTAGGAGAGTGCCTGACATACTAACCGCTCTGTTGCTACCTACCACTGTTAAAACTCTAAGAAACTCCTTGGTTTATACATCACAGGGGTTTGTTAATAATGTATTCACTCTTTTTTATCTTCCATGGAAAAACAATGGGAAATACATCTGTTTCACATATAGATTTTCATATTTATGGAAAAAAATAGGGACAAAGTGAACAGCTTTTCAAAATCAGGGAATAAGGTAGAAATAACCACTTTCTGCGTATTCAGAGAGTAATTCATGGGGGAAGTAGAATTTCAGACTTATATTTTTCTCTGATTAGAAGGAAAGGAAAACTCCACATAAAACCACCATCTACTCTGTTGACATTTTAATACAATTCCTTTGTCTTTCTATATATGCAGCATTTTATATAACTGAGCCTATATTTGGCACTCTCCTAGACTCACATAACATCTATTAAATATATTTTTCTCAGCTATTTTTTTAAAAAAAATCACTTCAAATTGACTTCATAAATATAATTATTCCAACATAAATAAGAAATAATGATGATTAGCACCTCTCTTCCTGAACCCATAATTTTGACCCCAAAAATATCTAGCAAAAGGATTTTTGCTTACTTATTGCTCAGCATGTTTATATTTTTAAATAAAATTATCTGGTCAGAAATAAGTTTTAAATTTCATTTCAACATTTGCAGAAAGCAGGAGAGGGATAAAACAGCCACTAACGAATTAAGTCAAATGTGCTCAGTGAGATGTCACCTGGCCATCTCAGCTACGTGTCAAAGTCCACCGTCACCAAGGCAAGTATGAACAGCCAAATCTGTGGGCTAAAGAATTCTCTGGACTGTATGGGGAGCTTCATGTCTAGTACCAAAAGCCTAAGGGGCAGAAATGAAAGAAGAAAAGGAAAAAGAAGAACAGAAATGTGACTTTAAGATGGAAAATCAGGGAAATTCTGATAGCCTTGAGTACCAGCAGTCTCCCAGGATAATACTCCTCTGCCAAAGCCTCAAAGATGTGGTGCAGAGACAAGGACCACGGTGCACAGTCCGGGGTCAAATGTGTTTGTCATTCACTAGATGTTAGTCTACTTACTCTGAGTAAAGCCAAGAGCAGTCAACTCTTTTTTCATAGGCACAACAGCATGTCTGATGAGTCCTGCATTTCACACCCTGATGAGTTGGTGGCATGTGTGTTGAGAATGGAGGGTGTGGACCGGCTAGACATAGAGCTATCCATGATTTATGACAGCACCATGTGCCCGTATTCTCTCTTGAGTTCTAATATTTGGCCTTGAAATAAAAGTTACTATTAGGGACCGGCACTGTGGCTTATAGCAGGTAAAACCACCTCCTGCAATGCCTGCATCCCATATGGGCACTGGTTCAAGTTCTGGCTGCTCCACTTCCAATCCAGCTCTCTGCTGTGGCCTGGAAAAGCAGTAGAAGATGGCTCAAGTCCTTGGGCCCTGCACCCATGTGGGAGACCCGGAAGAAGCTCCTGGCTCCTGGCTTCAGATCAGCTCAGCTCCAGCCATTGCGGCCATCTGGGAAGTGAAGCAGCGGATGAAAGACCTCTCTCTCTCCCTTTCTCTCTCTCTCTCTCTGCCTCTGCCTCTGCCTCTCCAGCTCTGCCTCTCAAATAAATAAATAAATCTTTAAAAAAAAAAAAAAAAGTTACTGTTAACATGACCGTAGAGAGACCGTAATCCACAAACTCCATTTCGGCAGTTCTTCAGAAGTAAGCATTCTCTCTCGAGAAAATTTCTGCAGCTCACCTGAAGGGCCTGTCTTTGCAGAAAAAAGAAATCGACTGCCCTGTGCTCACAAGGGCACAGGTCCCCCACCTGGTCCTTGGAACTCGAGCACCATTCCAAAACAATGACATTGCTCATGTGCTTTCTTTCACTGGCAATCTGAAATACTCTTCCAGTCAATTACTGAAACTCTTTTGCTGGTCATGTCAAATAAAAAATCTTGTTTCAAGAGCCTCAGTCTTTAAATAATGCCCGCCTTTTCCAGCATAGGAAGACAAGATTCAGGAACACTGCAGTTTCTGTGCTGCAGATGGATTTGCTAGGAGGTTTTCAATGACTCCCCCATCCTGGGGGAATAACATAGACGCTAAACAAACAGCAAAACCAGAAAAAAAAACTACAATAAAAGCTCATGCCTTCCACCACCAAAAAGTCATGTTTTCTCCTATCTCCTTTTCTCTCCTCTGCTGTTTGTCCAGCACAACAACCTGTTCTATAATTCATGCTGTGCAAACTGCATACTTTAAATGATCTGAATGATAACAAAGATCTAATACAGTCATTTCAAAATAAATAATTGTTTTTTTTCATTTACCCAAAACAGAGATCAGCCTAAAACAAAACAAATAGGGATTTTTTTCCTCTGTGAGATGACAGTACAGATCCTAGTGATGAGACCTTTGCTTGCTTACAAAATAAGGTTTAACTGAGATCTAGAGCATATTCCGAATGTTGACTCAACTTATAAACATCTAACATTTATTATATTTCAACCTCAATTTTCAAAACATTTGAGGAAACAAATAATCACTGCTGACTTATACCCTGTTTAATCGTCCACCACAGACGATATTTATTGCTTGTGTATCTCACCTTGGTGAGTAGAATTCTCAGTCCACATCACTGAAAGGCTCTCAGTGTGGCTCTCCAGTGCAAATTTCCTGAGAGTCCCTTCCCTCGGCATGTGCCAAGAATCAAATCTTGGCCACTTAGTGCTCTGTGTTCCACATGTGAGCTCACGACGCGTTGAGCAGCCGTGCTAACTGAGATGGATAGCGCTGTCAAACAGGAAGCTGGCACACCAGGATGCAAGCAGTGGGATACAATGACCTTTACATTCAGAGAAAAATATCCCTAAAATGGCATGAAAAGTTTATGGGGGAATGGGAGGGGGGATTCTTTATTTCATTTAGGCACATAGCATGAAATAAAAGCAATGGTGCCCAGTATGCAATTTGCTCGGGATCAAATCCTGAATCTCTCACACAAGAAGGAAAGTCGTCGGAGAAGGGAAATGAATCACCTTTTATCACACTGCTTTGAAAGCATCAGACTCTGTGAAGCAGCTACATCAGTGAACGCAGACTGGCCCGCCACTGCGATGCAGATGCACTCAGACCCACAATAACCCACAAGGCTCACGCTGACCCTGGAAAACCTTCTTAACCCCTCTGGTTTCAAGTGGGCTGCCTTCCTAGTAGAGCTAACACATATTTTAAAAAGCCATGATCTGCTTACAAAAACAGAGCCAGGAGCTTAAGAATTTTAATTTCTTGTCCTGGGTCATCATACAAGCACTTGTAAGTTTATATAAATGCTTTATCTCTCAGAGCTTCCTTATCAGAATAAATGAAGTTCTACCTGAGAGTTTTTAACAATCGCATGAATAACTCAAAAAATAAACAGTAAAAATATTTGCATGTAGGCAAATGCTAAGTAAAGATGGTAATTTAGAACATTAATCTGTAGAACAAGACCTGGAAGTTATAGGTTTCCTTCCTTTAGTGATAGCCATAATCATAAACTACACAATTCAGTCATTTCAGCTGAAAAACAAAAATAATAACTTCATTGAATAAAAAAAATTATTTTCCAATATTCAAGGTTTGGGGGTCATTTTTGTTATTTGTCAATTCTTTGGCATAAAAGAACAATGGGCTATGCTTCAGAATGAAACAACAGATGCTCAAAATGAGCTCCCCAGCATTGTATAATAGACACTAAAGTAATGATGCAATTTTAATATTTAATTAAATAGGTAAATGGAATTAATCACAAAGACACTGCAATGTTTTTAAATGAATGGACCACATCAAAACTATGCAATAGATTCAAAGATACAAAAGAATAAGATGCATCCCTTTTTCTTCTGTTTAGTTAAAAGCTAATTGTAAAGTACAAAAGCCATCAGCCCAAAGCAATAAATAAATTTAGAAAATTGAATCAGGTAAAGTTAGGAGCTAAACATCTCACCACTGGCCCTGGGAACACCAATTAGCTGACTTGGAAAAAAATGACAGAATTATGAATTCTTTGAAATGCAAGTCGATTTGGGTGGTTCTAGAGGTGCTGATCAGCTGCTTCCCAAAATAGCAAGACTGCAAGAAACATTTTGCTGCTCATGGTCTGAGAAAGATGCTAACTCGAACAATTCTCCTTCAAACCTTGTTTGGAGAACTGTATCAGGGAACGAAGGCGGCCCGGAGCAGGCGGAGGGGGTCTGCGTTATTACCTTGAGCCTGGGCGGCAGAGCTGTGAGAGTAACCCAGGGCCAGGAGCGCAGTCTCCACCAGCTGGCTAAAAAGCACATCTTTTCGCACCAGGACGAACTCGGCGTGTTCTTCTCTGTTGTCATATTCAAGAGAGCCGTCCAACTGCTCCACCACACAAAACACGGGAATCATCAAACCTGGAGGGACAAAATTCAAGAGCAAAGCACAAACATTACCAAGCAAATCGCGATCAGCAGGATGAGAAGGAAAGAGACAGTTATAAAAGTCACTCATCTGTGATCAACAGTAGTTTAGATTAAACAAGCCTCTTAGGCAGAGGGGCCTAATGGAAAGCTCTGGGTTTCCCCTTCTATTGTCATCATCAGACTACAGCAGAACTGCCAGGGGGGTGGCAGTGGCCCTGAGAGTCCTCCTATCTTCAAAAAGGGGAGTGTACCAATCACAGGTGTCCTGGTACACAGGAGGTCGAGGTGATCTTACAGATCTTCCAAACTTTAATGTCTACAGCTTTCCCATTAACTGCTAAATCACCACCAGTATTTTCAGATCTAATCTGCTCTTGCCTAGAAATGTATTTCAAAATTTCCAGTTGTAGGATACCTGGTAGGGAGGCATGTCTGACTCAGGACAGAAGGTGCTAGGTGACTATGTAACAAGACAATCAATAGAAAGTTACAGAGGTTCCGCCTGCCCCAGGTGGGTGCTGTGGCACAGTGGGTTAAGTCACCACTTGCAACACTGGCATCCCATATCAAGGCGCTGGTTCAAGTCCTGGCTACTTGGTACTTCCAATCCAGCTTTCTTCTAATGCATCCTAGGAGGCAGCAGATGAAGGCCCGAGTAGTTGGGTCCCTACCATCACATGAGAGACCTGGCTGGAGTTCCCGGCTTTAGCCTGACCCAGGTACAGCTGCTGTAGGCATTTGGGGCATGAAGCAATGAATGGAAGATATCTCTGTCTCTCCTCTCTCTCTGTCACTCTGCCTTTCAAATAAATAAATCTTAAAAAAAAAGTCTTTCCTGTGTCTGTTCTTTCCTTTATTTTGATAAATAGATCATCAATTAGCCTGCCCATAAAAGTCTTACCTAACATTTAACTTATATGTCAAAATATATATTCAAATACAAAACTTCATCTTTTTAAAATTATTATTTTATAGCTCTACACCAGTTATGACTGAAAGGGACTATCTTTTCTTGTGTTTTCAGAGAAGAGAAATAAACTACCCTAAAGAATAAAGCAAATTAGTCTAGTTGAAAATCTGTTGAAATCTGTTGTCACTGAAATATTTCTCTGCTTTGTATCAAAGTGTGAAAAGCTAAAAAATGTTTAATTCACCAAAGATTTTTTTAACTGTTTTTTTATTTTTAAGAAAGTCATACAGGCACTTAATCTAAACATAGCCGATGCAGAAGAAGATCAAAGTTTTACCAACACACAAGTAATAAACATGGACTCTGCCCCCACGTAATTCATAGAAATGAGTACATTATGGAGTAAGGGTCTGCTCTGGTCCTCACTTTGTGCAAAAACAACCCACAGCTACGGAGGATGGGGGGGGGGGCAGGCAGAGAGGCAGGAGAGGGGGAGAAAACAGTCACTTGACAATAAAAATAAGAGTGCTGCATGAAACGACCGGACGGGAGAATGCCCCCAACACAGAGGCCACGGCAGTTTCTCCAGAAGACCCTCGCTGCTGCTGCTGCTGCGACCCTGGGAGCCTCCTCACTCACTCTGATGTGGAAAGCAGAGGGTGGGAGCAGATCCACCGAAAACTACTAGGTCACGGACTTAGATTTTTGCTCTAAAGATAATACAATGGTGCAACTAGTTCCCATGTGCTAATTATTATTATTAAATATAATAAGTATTGGGTGTAATTATTAAATATCATTATTAACAATAATAATACTTATTAAGAATTGTTATCATTAAAGATCAGGGTAATTATTATTAAGCCTGCACAACAGTCTAACAAGTCACACCATACCCTACCTGGGACAGCTATTGACTCAATAGCTGAACAGAACAACAAAGCAGCACTATTGTCTACAGCAGATACACTAGCTATGGCACATATTTTTGGAAAAATATGAGATAACGGTGATTTTTTATATATAAAGAGCATTTACCTCTGCCACATGATGCCTTATGAAATATTTTTTAAAACTGTAATCATGGCTGGTATATGAAATGCTTATTTATTTCTTCTGAGTTTATTCCCAAATGTATTTAAAACATGGAATGAATTATCTGTATTAGATTTCTCCCAAATTGTTCCTGCAGTCATTCATTTATCTAGCATTTATTCACTGAATACCTACTATGCAACCTGAGGCTCCACAGAGATAAATGAGAACAAGCCTGATAAAGCTCCTGCCCTCAATGAAGCTGAAGGCATTATAAAATCTTCCTAAGCAAGCATAAGGGCATTTTATGGAACCCACTCATGAGAGTCCTTACCAGCAGGGAATAGCCCCCATTTAGACCTTTTACCTCTTACATACTGGGATATAATCTTTGTCCAAGGAAGCAGGTTGATTTCTACTTTTAATCATTTAAGCATATGCACACTTAAGGCCATGTAGTCAGTGGTGCCATAAGCTACTTCACCACTAATACCTGTGTGTACATAAGTTTCGATTCTGAAAATCCATGTGCTGTTCCTAATGTCAACATCTGAGTGTCACACATCTGGGAATCACAGATAAGATCTTTAAGTGAATCCAGTTGCTCCACAATCTATTATGTGTCCATTATTTAGGAACCATAAATCTTTTTCAAGTCTACAGTCAACTGAAAAAAGACTCTATTAATTTTTAAAAATAACATTAACTGTTAAATAAGCAAGAAATATAAAAATGTAACACAAAAAGCACAGGGATCTAAAACACATAGGAACTGTCAATGACTAAAATATTCCCTAAGTTTTTTTCAGTTCAGTGATTGAAAGAAGCAATTCCTTGAGATGACAACGGTAACTCCTTACAGTCAGAAGGAAGCACCAACCTCTCTCCCCCACAATACATCTACTTTTAAAAGGGAGAGAGTATTTTGAAATTATTTACAAACTAAAACAATATTAACTGGGACTCCATGATAATAGGATTTCTTCTGGAGCATATACACTTACATATGAGACAATAAAGATAGCCCAAGCAGATTATATTTAACCTACAGAAAAATAGAGCTTCTTACTAGAATTAGGTCGATCTAAACAATTATGGTTTTTAAAATGAAGTACAATTTTTACAAAAGAAGAAGTCAAGACAGATAGATGCAATTATCAGTGATAATGACAATAAACATGAAAAATAGCAAAGCAATTGAGGTCGGTATGGGAAGAACAAAATTAAGACATAGGCTTAAAAGGTCTATAAAAACAGGAAATCCCCAAGGAAAGAATACTATAAAAGGATGAATAGAAAAAATATACCCCAAAATGAGATATTTATCCATTTGGTCCCATCACCTTTCCCAGGCAAAAAGAAAAAAGGAAAAAAAGGGACAGTGGATAGAAAGATAAGGAAGGGCTTTGGAAAGCACTACAAAAATAAATTAAGAACAGGAAAAATTCTGAAGATAATAAAAAGAAGACCAACTTAATAATAAAAAGAATTGTTTCGATGAAAGAAAAGCAACATAAAATAGAATGCACTTTCAACAAAATTTAGAAGTGGTCAAAAAAGAAAAAAGAAAATCTCTTGCTCTAGCCAGGGTGTCTTGAGCTCATGGCATTATTTTTCTTTTATTGAAACACAGACCCATTTCCAGACAATCAAGTACAGAACTTTGAACCTTTTGATCGTAAGCCTTGCTAAGCCTTTTACAATTGCAGGAGGTAAGCAGGTGGTTTAATCTGGAGGACCAGCACTCAGTCCCAGCCACTTCCTAAAAACCAAGAGTTGTTCTGGCAGTTGAGATGAATGGGAAATTCTGTTGTAAATCTGGAGCTCTCTCGACACTAGAAAAATGCATTTTTGCAATTGTCATTAGGTATGATGACGGGACTGTCATCTTCGTGACATTAATTCTGCAGCATGTCTAATTATGAATAGTTCACTGCTGTGAGAGCCATGCTTCACGATGGCCACGTGGGCTGAGGCGTGGGAGAAATGGTGAGACCCGGTGATGACCAGCATGGGGGAGGAGGCAGACTATTCTTGGGTCTAATCCTGGTCCTGTTACTCCTTATCTGTGCCAGTGACCTTGGCTACTTTATCTGACCACTCAAATACCTCCTAGATAATATGCAAGTAATAATATCTATGTCACAGGTATGAGACTTAAGCAATGTAGTACATTCAAGTTGTCTCACAGCTCTCAAACAACAGAATGTATTTCTCTATTTCGAAATCAGTAAGAGTACCATTTTACAAAGAAAAAAAAAATCAATAAATTTTGCCCAGGTTCTGTAAACAATGTTCATGAGTCTTACTGAAAAGCATTTCTTCGGAATAAAAACACTGGTAATTATCAAATGGCCTAATCATTAAGTTACCTAAAAAAACTAATACTCATTGAAAGGCCTATTATGAAAATAATAATGGTTTACAATCTTCAATCTGTGCCTTCAGAAAGAGATAAATGTATTAAAAATCACTGAACTTCATACTCTCACACTGCCTGCCCAACGAGGAAGCACTTCAAGTGGGACTGGTCTCGAATGGAGATGTGCTAGAAAGTGTAAAATACACACTCAATTTCAATGGCTTAAGACCAATAAAGAAATCACCTCAAAAAACAAATTGCATGTGGAAATAATATCTTGGATATACTGTTACATAAAATATAATATTAAAATTAACTTCACCTGTTTTTTTTTTTTTTTTTTTTTTTTTTATGCAGCGACTAGAAAATTTTCACTTCCACATGGGGCTTCTGTTATCTTTCTATCACAGAGCACTGCTCTAAGCAACCTGCCAATACCAACACATATAATGGTTCTTCTCACACAAGGTTAATTCGTCTCAAACTGATACTGGGGCAACTGTGTGACTGTCATGTACATTTCTCTAGTGCCCCTTGGGAAACCCGAAGATACGTGCACTTTTGATGAAACCCAACATCCAACATAACATGTCCTCATGAAGTGAATTGTAGGCTGCTGTTTCATTCCTTAATATATTAGTTCATCATCTTCAATAAACAAAAAGGCTTTTTGTCCCTTCTAGT